AAGAAGAAGAAGAAGAGAGGGGGAGGACAGAAGAATGAGCGGAGGAGGAGGAGGAGGGAAGAAGAAGAAGAAGAAGAAGAAGAAGAAGAAGACCGGCACTCCAAGTCGACGGGCGGCAGGGGATGTCGGCAGGCAGGAGCACCACGATCGACGATGCTGGCGACGGGCGACGGGCGACACGACGACGACAGGGGAGTAAAGCTCCCAGGCGATGGCGACGAGGGCAGCTGCTTCGACGAGGGGCAGCAGCACGAACGCAGGCGGCTGGAGCAGCTATCGAGGCCCCGTTTGGACAGCCAATGCAGGCCGCCCCAGCCAGTCGCTAGTTCATGGGGCCTCCATTTCCCTCCAAAAACGAACGGCCCTCTGGCCGTTGATCATGGATGATTGACGGCCAGAGGGCTGTCCCAAATTCAAAAAAAAAAAAAAGGCCTCACAGGCCCGACGCGCCGTTTTCTCGGCGTGGTTGGACCCGGTAGGCCCTGGGGAGGCCAAAACCACCCGATGTGGGGTCGGAACCCCCCCGCCAACAAGGTGTGCTGGGGGTGCCCGGCCCCCAACCGGGCCGCCCGCCCGGCCAGGCCGCCCGGGACCTCCCCCGGGCGGGCGCCGGTCGGCCGGGCGGCCCGGATCCGTACTCAGCTTTTCACTCCTTTCTTTAGGATTTTTAATATTTTTATTTTATTTTATTTTATTTTGGCTCGTAGAAATTGTATCAATAGAATATAGTCTTTTGCTGGGGGAAAGGGAAAACTTACGGGAAATTCGAGAATAGGATTTTAGCCGTTGAAACAGTCGTGCCATGAGCTTTGCCTGACCGGAGAGCCTCGCTCAGCTCATAGCTGCTGTGACTCTTGTAAGGGACGTCGGGCCCGGTTCCCGGCTTTCATATCAATAAAGATTGATCCTTTTTCATTATTAAAAAAAAAAAAAAGACCTACACCCTCGAGGGCCTGAGCTGAATATCCTGAGGCACTACATGTAGGGGCCTAAACCTCTGAGACGCAAAAGCGGCAAAACTGAAACGGTTTTCACCTCTTTGCAGTAGCAGAGGCAGATCCCAGGGTTCGATCCCTAGACCTTGCGCTATCTGTGTACAGTACCTGTGTAGACCCCGAGAGTTGAACCTGTGACCTGTGTATTCGTAAACAGTTGATAGGCTGTCATAGGTCCGTAGGTGGTAGGGGTTTGATCTGTAGATCTGTAGAATAGAAGTCTTAGTGAGTTCCAGAAATCTTAGCTGTAGTCCTTCTAGAAGGTCGGCAAGTGGTCAAGTGGTGAGCCCAGTAGGCAAGTGGTCAAGTGGTGAGTCAAGTGGTGGACTAAAACCGCAGTGCGATTGCAGTACGAGTCCGGTGGGACAGCAGCGAGTCCCCGTTCAGTCAGCGGTCAGGTCCAGTCAGTCCCAGTCGAGTCCAGCAAGTACCACAAGGGGCTGTGAGCACCATGGGCCGATGGCAAAGGGCAGACCAACGAGTTTCAGAAGTATAAATCAAGAGGCAGCGCCCAGCCATTCATTCATTCCGGCGGGAGCCATGCAGAAGCGCTGCCACAGCGACTTGTGCAAGGAGGTCTGCGGAGAGCCCGGAGCTGAAGTGGGCGAGAGAGAAGGAGCGTAGCATAGCGATAGGGTAGTTGCGGCCATAGCCGCCATAGCTAGAGTTAGTGTGAAGTGTGTGTGTGTATGTGTGAGTGTTCAGAGTGACGCGTGTGGGATATCCAGGGTGATCCGGGGTATGTGAACAGTGAGTTGTTTGGGCGCTGAGTCGCCATAGCCAGTTGAAAGTGAACTCGTATCTGGATGCCATATCTCTGAGTTTTGAGTGGGCGCATGTTGCCAGTTTGCTGCGCTACTGTTTACATGCATGAACAGTGTGAATGAGAACGAGTCTGATTGCAAAAACACTAACCAGAACTCGAAAGTTCAAACCCAGAGATTAAAACTGGACACCACTTGCCACTTGCAGGTTCCGGAGGATGTGCTGGTGGATTTGGTCGTGGATACGCTGGTGAATCTAGACCATCTTGGTGAGTTAACAGAGTTTCATCGCTAGATCACAGCTTTATCCAGTGTGTTACTCATGAAAACACTCCACGCAACTTGCACAAGAGTTTATCCTTCTTTTGCTCCTCGCTTCTCTCTTCCTCCCTCCTTCCCTCCCTCTCTGCCTCCCTCCCTCCCTCCCTCCCTACCTACCTACCTACCTCCCTCACTCACTCACTCACTTCCTACTCCCTCACTCCCTCCCTCCCTCCCTCCCTTACTCACTCACTTCCTACTCCCTCGCTCTCTCACTCCCTGCCCCCCTTCCTCATCTGCCTTTGATTCCCAACTGCTATGAAGTGATTTTATGCATTCCTCTCTCCTGGGTTTCTTTCTTTTATCCTACCCCTTAATGATCAGCCACAGGGGAAGGGCTGTGGGACGCTTTGCTCCGATACGCTGTCAAAACCTTTTACCTTAGGGTCACATAGAAATTCGTTACCAAATTTAAAATAAAAAATATTATTTATATTTTTATTATTTTTTGCGCTTTGTTTTTCTGCCACAATCATTATTAGACCACCAATACTTTTGAGTCTTGACCCTTCCATTGATGTGCCTGGAAGCGCCCTGCGCGTCAATATAGAAGAAAAGAACCTGCACGGGCCTTCTTTTTGCTGGCGATGCCAGCCATTTTGCTCGGGTAGGCCGACTCCTGAAACTTGCGGCCACATGCACACCACGTCGGAGAAACGACTACGGTAGTACTCTTCCCAACTATCTCCCTACGACTCAGTTGGTTGCATGGCCGCTTCCCGCGGGATACCTGGCCTGTCTGTTCGCAATAAATACATCCAGGTAAAAGGCGTTGCCTGGGTTTTGCCTGAATGTAGGGCCTCACTCCAACACTAAGAGGCCTCTCATGGGCGGTACAAATTAAAAAATGAAAAATCAAATGGGGGATCATTATGCTGAATTTGTGCAGCCCTTTCACTTGGTTTTGGTCTGATGCGTTCATTCAGCTCATTGCTAGACCTTATCATGACATGGTGTTTAGTGCCGATAGCTGCAGTCTCTTTTGGCTAGCATGTGTATCAATTTGTAGCTCTTGGGAGATGCTGCATCGGTTTTCCAGCCCGGTGTGATTGCTTCCCGAAGCCGCAGCTGGGTAATCAGGGTCTGGGTTCAGATGCAAGTTGGGGGGGGGGGGGGGGGGGGGGAAGGAGGGCAGTGGGATAGGGCGTAAACTTATAAACCAAATTTCCATCTTTTTTTAAAGGGCAACGGGCTTGAGATATCATACTGGCCCCAGGTAATTCATGAATTTAGTGCATCTAGTTCTATCTGGACTCTGGACATCCATTAAAATTGGAATGATACAGAGAAGATTAGCATGGCCCATGCGCAAGGATGACACACATAAATCGAGAAATGATCCCAAAGAAAAAAAAAAGAAGTTATATCTGGACTCGAACTCAGGTCTGTATTTCAACGGTTTGTGGGTGTACCAAGTACTAGCTACTGAGCTAGGCCTGTCGGTATGCCGGTCGGGAAAAGTTATCGATGCCCCCCGCGATGAAAGGTTTGTCCTTGTTTGCCTTCCTGAAGTGTCGGAGGCCCAAAAGGCTTGAGGCACGGGGGGGATCTGTAACTTTTGCCACCAGTTTTCTGGGGCCTGTCGGACATTTCGCCATGGTCCAGGGGCAAAAAGTACAAACATTTTGTCGCGGGAGGGATCTATAACTTTTCCCATGCAAATTCCCATCTTTAAACAGAGAAGAGATGTAATTTTCCCAAAAATGAAAAGCCTCATTGTCCTGTGTTTCGTGCTTTTGTTTTATGTTGTTGGAATAGTTGCGAAAGAGGTTTCCTCTCTCTCCTGTTATATTTCTTGCTTCTCTATAGAAGAAATTGAAAAAATTATTGTCTCTAGTGTCTCATCACCCCTGCCCCAAGAGTGTCTCATCACCTTTGCTTCATGCCCAGACTGTTGAAGCAACCATGTCGATGACAAAACTCACTCTCTCTCTCTCTCTCTCTCTCTCTCTCTCTCTCTCTCCCCTGCTTTTTCTTCTTTAACAGAAGTGGAAAGTGAGAAACCACTGTTTTTTGGTTGACCTTCGTCTGTTTCTTGCTGTTGTTCACTTTTGCCGGAACAGTTGCGAAAGAGGTTGCTGAGGACTACAACCCATCAAAAACTCCTCAGAAGGGGAAGAAGGGGGGGGGGAAACAAGATCAGAAGAAAAACGCCAGCCGGCCAGCAAGCAGTGGATCAAAAGGTCGCATGGAAAGCAGCCGACCTGGGACCGCCCATGCTAAGAAGAAGAAAGTGGGTGGCGACAACGAACCGCCTCCAGCATCTCCTATACCAGAAATTGCTGCTATTTTGGACTCTCAGAGAGCCAGGGTCATTCCAAAGCCTACGACGGCTGCGCAAACCAATGGGCGTGCCAACGGATTTGTTCTGGACGGATTTCCACAGACCTTTGCCCAGGCAAAGCTCTTTGAAAAGGCCCTTTCTGGTCTGGATCTCGACCTTGAGTTGGAACTGAGACAGAATTGCTCACGCATCTGCCCACCGCCACCTGCCCCGGTAAGTTCTCCTCTTTAGTCATTTATATATTCTCCTTCTCCAACATGTGTGTCTTGTCCCCTGTGCAGGTGGCATGCTCACTTTCTCTGTGTCCTTCCCCTTTGAGGGGATATCCTGAAGGATTAAACTTTTTTCCAACGAGGCCGCACTTTGGACCAGCGTCTCATGTCACACTGGAAGCACACTTCCGCACACGAGAAGTGGAAACCAAATCGCGCGATGTGAGACTGCACTTTGAACCAGCATCTCAAGTCACACTGGAAGCACACTTCCGCACACGAGAAGTGGAAACCAAATCGCACGATATGAGAAGTTCAGAGCTTGGAAATTGCTTGGGAATCAAAAGTCATGTACAATAAGTTTGTATACACACAGCTGAGGGGTTATGGCCACCAGCAGACAACCACCAGAAGATGAACTCTCTCTCATCCTCTCACTGTCTCTGCCCTCAGCGTCACTTTCTCTGAATGTCTTCTCTCCTCGAACTCGAAAATTGCTTGGAAACCAAAGTCCTGTACAAAACACGGTTGTATACACACAGCTGGGGAGTTATGGGAACCAGCAGTCAAAAAACCAAAAGGTTCTCTCCAGAGAGAGAGAGAGAGAGAGAGAGAGAGAGAGAGAGAGAGAGAGAGAGAGAGAGAGAGAGAGAGAGAGAGAGAGAGAGAGAGAGAGAATGGAAAATCTGATTCTGCACATCAAAACATCTCTCTTGGAGTGTCTGTCACTGTGCAGATGCCAGGGGAGGCTGAGAAGTTGCTGTCAGGCCTTCAGACATGGATAGTGATGAGCATTGAAGATGACGAAGAGTCGATTAAAAGAGCGGTTGGTCGTCGCATCGACCCACTGACAGGCAGGGTTTATCATCTGGATTATGATCCCCCACCAGAAAATGATAAGACGTAAGTTCCCAACTGCAGTGCTGCTCTCAGAATTTATTCTCTTGAACAAAGGCCAGCGTCTCCCAGCAAATATGTCAGACGGTCATTATAGCTGTATTGGGGTAAATTACTGAATTTTCTAAATACAGTGATAATTGAGTGTTAATCACCATGTGTCCTATTCGGGGGAAAAAAGGGTAATGGAATGGGAGTGCCTTTTGTGGGCTGTTCATTTGTTTGGAATTGTTTCTTTGTTATGACCCGGACCAATTGCGAAGTACAAATTCACCAATAAAGCACAATGCTGCCCAATTGCAAAAGAAATGAATGAACTTGAGAGGATTGAGAGGATAAGAAGAAGAAGAAGTAGTAGTAAGAAGGAAGAAGATGAAGTACACCAGCAAAGAACCAATGTCAAAGCACTTCTCCTTCGCTCAACTTCTCAACTCCATATGTCCCCCTCTCTTATATTCAAACAAGAATTATTGCAACAATGCTGGCCAGCTGATCCAGAATCAAAGTCCAAGGTCCTCTTCTACAGCTGACTACTATTGAGGTCCTCCATAGCCATGGCCGCCTCTCCCTTCTTCTTCCTTGGAGGCCGAGGCTATGGCGGACTACTGCAGGCCACCGTGATGTCCAGAGGACAACACAGAACAGCTATGGCTGTCCCGCACACACCACCATGCTCCGAACCACCTTGAAGTTACTCGGTATGGCTCCCCTCCCTCGG